ATTCTTTCAGCTTATATACCACATTTAGGCTTCTTAAGCATTAAAAAGTTTGTTACTGACTTATCAAAATTTCGTGATATTTATTAAAATATAATAATGACAACCTCAGTCCTTCTAAGAATTCGCAAAAATTGTTTTAACCTTTGTATTTAAGTAAAAATCGAAAGACGGTCTCAAAACACATCTTACATTCATTTACTCCAAATTTATTATGAGCTAAACTCGTGCTGGTATGTATAACAACATATAAACTCATCAAAACCAATTAACTCTCTACTGATAATTATTTAAACACTATTCCGTTAACAAGGTTAAATAGGTGCTTGCGCTGTGAAATCGCGTTTTAAGCAATCACTCTGTTGTGTTATCAGCTATTTTGTTGGCCTTTTTGAACTACAAAAATATTGTGATGAGCAAGAAATACCGACTTATGAAGCGATACATATGAACGGCTGAAAGAGTAAATACGCTGACTTAATGTTTATGTTAAGAAAACAATCGCTTCGTAGATTAAAGAGTGTTTAGGTCTGGGTTGCAAAATTTTGATAGCTGCAAATATATTTTTAATACATTCTTGACAACAATAAGGTACTGCACAGGTATTTCTGCTTCCATGCAGTAACTTGCTCACAGTTGATATTTCTGAGTGCAGAGTTAGTCAGACGTGAAAATGTTTTTTAATTTTTTATCAAAAATCGGTTTTACCTGTTTTTTGTGCGCACTTAAAGTGATTGGCCCACTATACTTCACTATACATTAAACATTTAAAAATATTTTATTAATTAACTAAAATATTAACGAGTATTATCGTTTTTTGGGTAGACGAATTCATTTGTGATTTTTTTTTTTACCGAAAGCTTACGTTAGGTGGCGCTGTATCATAATTTTCTATTTTTTCTTCTTTCTTCACTGTTTTGATATTTAGCAATCCGTTTTATTCAGCTGTTACCTTGAAATATTTAACATTAACTATCAAAAAAGTAAAAATATGCACTTTACTTTTTCCCAAGCTTTAAGGTATCTTTTAGTTTGACCTTAAGGCCACCTTTCACACTATTGGTAATACATAATTGCAGCATAAGTATTTTTGAAACATAATTACTCAAATTTAATGTTAAGTAATATATACATTGTTTATATATTAAATAACGCATGAGCTGATTAATTAATTTGGCATAAATGCCAATAATCTTATTACACATTACCGCAGCGGGAGCCGAATGTAGATTGCTTTTGGAACTTCGATTAAGCGATCAGTACCAGCATGACTTCATTATTTACTGACTTGCATACTTTCTCAGACCGCTGTGTGATATAACAAAGCTTATATAAATAAATTGTGATTATAGTCTCAAAAAAGGCTGTTCATTTAATTTCCGCAAGTCATGCGCCCAAAGTAACTCTGTTTAAACTGCGGTTAATGGATTAATACACTTTTGAGGTTATAACGCCAGTATATTAACCTGTTGCAGCAACTTGTAATTACAAGCGATCGCCACATTGTTGAGCAAAAGTGGTCTAGTAAAAGTTGTTGCATACTTAGGATCCAAATAGCGCGCTTACTTTTGTTTAATTACTGTTTTTTTGTTTATAAATATTTGTTATTTCTTTTGGTGTGTGCTAAAAGCGAAAATACTTTGATTGACAGATAGAGCTGGAAAGTGTTTTTTCGAGATTTCTGCATCGAAAAAATGCATTAAAAGTCATTTACACAAAGAAATTGTATTTTAATTACAATCGTATTGACATGACAGTGACAAAAAAAATGTATTGACATATAGGGCTTGCTACAAAAATATCTTTATTATCATATTGGCAACTACCAACAGTTACAAAATGCATAAGATAATAATACAGTGACTCGCGGTACAATATTTTCGAAGTAATTGCAAAAGATGGGAACTCGCTAAATCGAGTATATTTTATTAATGGAGCGCTGGCATATTTCCTTGGGAAAAGTTTCTTGATTTGAGCGTAGTACAGAACCAGAAAAGTATATATTTCAATTGGTAGTATACTATGGTTTTTTTTTTTACCATAACCACTTGGGGTTAACGACCGCAAGACAAAGTACCTGGAGGCCACCCACAACCTTCCTCGCATCTGGGGAACTACCTCCATGTTGGTAGTTATAAATTTAGAAGAGATAAGGACGTTGTCTGGCACGGAAACAGCATAACTTCCACCAATAATCTAGGTCTAGAGATTGCATGCAAAATAACTCTTGTTAAAAGGTTCCACTTTGGGTTCGTTAGCAACTAAGAAGCAGAACCCTCTTTCGAAGAATAAAAATTCATATTATCCCCGTCCTATTAATTAAATGGTGCAAAAATATAGTTGATGAATGGAGCACTTGGAACATTTGAAAGAACCGTTCTTCGCAAGATCTTTGAAGTCGTCCTTTTGAGTGATGAATATCGAAGAAGATGGAAGCACGAACTGTATGAGCTTTACGGCGCCATGGATATGCGCATAAAATTGCAACGAATGTATTGGTAAGCAATGTCGTTTGCTTAAAAGATGATGCTACAGTGAAAAGCTCCTTCGACTCGGCACTCATGAGTGGACAACGGAAGCAAGGGCACTTACGCATCCAATGGAAGGATCAAGTGCATAGCGACCCGTCTGCACTTGGAATATATGTATAACTGGTGTGATCACGCAAAGGAGAGAGGCAACTGGCGCAGGTTTGTGTTTTCGGCCCAGATGGACCCACGGTTGTAGTAGCCAAGGAAGAAGATCTCGAGTCGCATATAAATTGAGCTTTAGACTACAGGAGATCGCTCCAACATTAGCTATTATTTGCAAACACCCTTGACAATTTTTCGAGAACCATCGATTTTTTACTGGAAGATAATATGCTGGCAATGCACTAAATGTGATACCTATATGACAGGTGAATTCTATAGAAGGCATATTATTTTTCTTGAAACCTCTACTGACTGGTTGGATACTCTTTCATCAAAAGAAAACTCATTGCTTTTGAAAATAAAAACAACTGGCTGAGATAGTTAAGCGCTCAGGGTAATAGGGAATGTAAACAGGTAAGAAATTTTTATTTCACTATCTATTCGAAAGAAAAGCTATTTGTATTTGCAAAAGATATACCATATATCAAAGTGCTCATCAATTATCTCCCAAAGTCGGACATAACTGCTACGTTCTCAAATGCTTCGATTTGAATTGAGAACGTTTAAACATCAGATCCATTTCTGCACCTGACACACAGAATTTCCTCTCTAAATGAGCTAAGGTCGCTATAGCGAATAAGATGGCTCATTTGGTAGATGCAATGTGAAAGCTAGGAAAGAATTCTAGTAGTTATACTTAAATCTAGCCTAGCAGAACGTTTACAGAAAAATTTATTATAAACATATGTCTGTATAATTCAGACAATGGCAACCTCATACAGTTATAGACTTTTACGCCTATGATTTTGAAGCTCCAAATGAAATAAAAAGCTTTAACAAAACAAAAATAGATGGTAAGCCTACACACGAAACATGAAATATTTTAGAATAAATAGCAAAAGTAAAAAAAATATATAACAAGCAAAAAAAAATAAATTCATAATCTCTACATAAAAATAATTTATCTTAAATAATCTTATTCTGGCAGCCCTAAAATTATTGTTCAGTGTATTGGAAATTAAAATACGTTGCCTTCAAACTTCAAGAATCGCGAAAATTTGAAAAAAAAAAATCATATTAAAAAAAAAAAAGTAAGGAAGCGCTAAGTTCGGGTGTCACCGAACATTTTATACTCTCGCATGATAAAGTGATAATCGAGATTTCAGGCATGGTTGTGAACCGATTTCACCCATATT